AATTAAACCCAAAGGGAACAGAAGGAAGGAAACAAAATCAAAGAAGAAATAAATGAAATTTAAAACCGAAGACAATAGAGAAAATAAATGAAACTAATGATGGATTTTTTTTGACAAGATCACTAATCCTGATAAATTTCTAGCCAGCCTGACAAAGAAAGAAAGAGAGAAAACACAAACTACCGATATCTGGAATGAGAGACATCATTACTGAACCTACAGATGTTAAAAGGATCATGGCCATAGGTCAATCAATGCAACAACTTAGATGACACGGCAAAGTCCTTAACAAACATAAACTATCAAAGTTCACTGTAAAAAATAGATGATACAGATAGTTCTACATCTTTTAAAGAAGTTGAATTCATAGTTTAAAACGTTTAAGCCAAAAACCCTTTAGGTCCAAATGGCTTCTTACAGTGAATTCTTCCAAACATTAAAGAAAAAAAAATGCCAATTCTACACAAACTTTTCCAGAATATAGAATAGAAGAGTGCCTCCCAATTCATTTTATGAATTTAACATTACTCTGATATCAAAATCAGAAAAAAATCTACAAGAAAAGACCAGTATCTTTTATGAGCAGGGATGCAAAATCCTCAACAAAATAGTAGTGAATCAAACCCAGCAATATATAAAAAGGACAATGCATCCTAAAAATGCACAGTTGATTCAATGCTAAGTTAATCAAAGTAATTGACCATAACAGCAGATTAAAGAAGAAAATCCACGTGATCATCTCAATAGATGCAGAAAAATCTTACAAAATTCAATATTCATTCAATATTTTGAAAAACAAAAAACCACTTAGCAAACTATGAATAAAAGGAAATTTCATATCTGATGAAGCATGTCTACCAAAAGAACCCACAGCGTACATTATAGTTAATGGAAAAAAACTTAATATCCACTTAATATTAGTAGCAAGGCAAGAATGTCCACTCTCACACGCTTCACTCCTATTCAACATCATAAGGAATGTCCAGCTGGTACAATAAGTCAAGAAAAAGAAATAAAAGGTCTACAGCTTGGAAAGAAAAAAATAGCATTTTATCCTCACATGATATGGACTGTACAGAAAATCTGAATCTATTAAAAAAGCTACTAGAACTAATAAGTGAGTTTAGCAAGGTTTCAGGATATGTGATCAATATACAAAAATCAAATGTATTTGTACACACTAGCAATGAACTGAATTTTTTAATTAAAGGAATTTTTTTTTTTTTTAGAGACAGGGTCTTGCTATGTTGCCTAGGCTGGTCTCAAACTCCTGGCCTCAAGGTGGATCCTTCCACCTTGGCCTCTCAAAATGCTGGAATTACTGGCATAAGCCACTGTGCCTGACCTTCCAAAAATATTTTTATACCATTTAAAATAGCACCAAAATTTTAAAAAGTATTTAGGTATACAACTTGCAAAACCTATGCAGGATTTGTATGCTGGAAACTATAAAACACTGACAAAGAAACCAAAGAAGGCCTAACAAATAGAGAAATAGGCCATATTTACAGACTCAGTATTGTTAAAATGTCAATTTTCCCTAAACTGATCTCTATATTAAATGCAACTGCAATCAAAATGTCACCATAGTTTATTGTAGATGCAGAAAAAATGATTCTAAAATGTATCTGGAAAGGCTATCTATAATAGTAAAAATAATTATGAAAAAGAACAAAATTGGAAGACTCACATTACCTGATTTCAAGTCTTATTCTAAAGCTCTTATAATTAAGATACTGTAGTATTCAGAAACTTCAGACATATAGATCGGTGGAACAGAATAAAGAGTTCAGAAACAATCCCACACATATGTAGAGTGAGCTGAATATAAACAAAGGTAAAGAGAAAACTCAATGAAGAATGAAGTCTTTTAACAACGGCCTGAAACATTTGGATATTAATATGTTAAAACAAAACAAAAAACAACTAATCTTGATCCATAACTTGCACTCTATACAAAAAGTAACTCAAAATGGATAATAGACTAAATGTAAAACCTATAATTATAATATGTCCCAAAAGAAAACAGGAAAAAATCTTTGTGACAGTTCTTGTATATGACATCAAAAGTATGACTCATAAAAGAAAACAATGACAAATTAGACTTCAGCAAAACTGGAAACTGTTCTTAAAAAGATAATGGTAAGAAAATGTAAAGACAAGCCACACACTAGGGTAAAGTACAGTCATGTGTTGCTTAACAATAGGGATACATTCCGAGAACTGTGTCAGGCAGCTTCATCATTATACACAAACCTAGATAATGGCTATATGGGGTGGCTGATTGCTTCCAGACTCTAAACATGTATAGAATGTTGCTATCCTGAATACTGTAGACTATTTTAATACAATGATAAGTATTTGTATAACTAAACATATCTAAACATAGTCAAAATAGAGTATTATAATATTATGGGACTACTGTCATATACATGATCCATCATTGACCTAAACATTGCTATGTACTACATAACTATATTTGCAAATGATATATCACAAGCCCAGTTTTGGCTATTATGAATAAATTTGCTATGAACATTTGATTACAGATATCGGTGTGGACATATACTTTCATTTATTTTGAACAGTACTTGAATTGGTAGGTCATAGGGTAGTGTATTAGTCAGGATTCTCCAGATAAACAGAACCAATAAGGAAATATAGATGTACACATGAGGAGATTTACAATAGGAATTGGCTCACACAGTTATCACCCAGAAATCCTACAATCTGCCATCTGCAAGCTGGGGAGCCAGGAAAGATGGTGGTATAATTCCATCTGAGTCTGAAGGCCTGAGAACCAGGAGCTTCCATGTCTGAGGGCAGGAAAATATGAACAGCACAGCTCAAACAGGAAACAAATTTACCCTTCTTCTGCCTTTTTGTTTTATTCAGGTCCTCAACAGATTGGATTATGCCAACCAACATTGGTGAGTTGATCATGCCAACCAACACTGGTGACTTTACTCAGTCTCCTGAGTCAGCTGTTAATCTTGTCAAGAAACCCCCTCACAGATACTCCCAGAAATATGTTTTTCCAACTCTCTGGCCATTTTTCATCCCACTGAAATTGACCTCTAAAGTTAACCACTAGAGGCTGGTGTATGTTTAACTTTTGATAAACATCCAAATTATTTTTTAAATGGTTTTACCATTTCACCCTCCCATCAGCAATGTATGGGAGTTCCAGTCACTTCATATCTTCACTAAAAAATCATGTTAAGTCTTTTAAATTTTAGCCATTCTAGTGTGTGAGTACACAATTGTACTCATTATAATTTTATTTTGCATTTCTCTGATGACTAATGAACACTTTTACACTTTTTTTACATGCATATTGGACATTCATATATTTTCTTTTGTGAAATATCTGTTAAAGCCATTATGTCTTCTTAATTGGGTCATTAGCATTTTTTTATTACTTTGTTATAGTAGTTTTTTAAATATTCTGAATATAAATCCTATGTCTTTGTTTTGAGATATATTCTTTCTGTATGTGTCTTGTCCAGCAATTTTCTTAATGCTATCCTTTTTTTCTTTGATGGGTGCTGGTTTTCAATTTTGATAAAGTCTAATTTAACAATATTTTAATGTCTTTCTGTCACCCACTTAAGAAATTTTTGTCCATAAATAGTAAAAATATTCTCGCAGTAAAAATTTTCTTATAGAAGCTTTATGGATTTACCTGTTTTGTTAAGTTCTGTGATCCATCTTGGGTCAATTCTTGCATGTGGTATGAGGTAGAGGCTAAATTTACATTTTTTCCATATGGATATCTTGTTGTTTCATCACCATTTGTTGAAAAGATTTTCCTTTTTCCCACTGAATTGCCGTGGTGTCTTAGCTGAGAATCAATGGACCATATAGGTCTAGGTACATTTCTGGAATCTATATTCCATTCCATTGATCTTATATATCTATCTTTATGCCAACCTCACACTATCTTTCAGTATTTTATAAGCTTTATGAGTAACCCTTGAAATCGGGAGGTTTAAGTTTTCTAACACAATTCTTCTTCTTCAAGATTATTTAGGTTATTCTAGGTCCTTTGGACTTCCATATAATTTTGAAATAAACTTCTCAATTTCTTCCAAAAATACAGTTGGGATTTTGATAGTGGTGGTATTAAATGTACAAATCAATTTGGGAAAATGGATATCTTAACAATATTGAGCAACTTAATATATTTAGTTAGGTCTTCTTTAATATGTCTTAGCAATGTTTTGTAGTATTTAGAATAGAGGTCTTGCATGTAATTCACCATAAAGTTTTGAGTTAAAAAATGACATTTGACCATAAAATATGGCTTTTATATTTACTATGGGGTAGATTCCAAATCACATAAAGAAATAAAGCTTCCCTCATCCATTTTACCAATAAATATTCAAAACCACTAAAAGAAAGGCAATAAAAATTGTTACTTATCCAATAAGCAGATCAAACTACTAGCTTCGTGAAGGTAAGAGTGTCTCTTTGGCTGGATTTGAACAACACTTAACAGATTTTCATACCCAGATAGGACTCTCATAGCAGCATTTTAAAAGACTCATTATGAAAGGACACAAAGACCTCTGAAGGAAGCAGACTGCTCCTGTAGGACCCAGGAGACACCTCAAATACTGTGAGTGCCCCAACTTTGGAAGTGGGAAAGGGAGACCCTCATTTCCTGAACACACTCCCCCAATGGAGAAGCTAAAGCCACAGCAAAACCCATTCAAGGAGAGTCTGAGCTCAGATACACCTAGCCCTGCCCCCACCTTCCCTATCCACCCTGGTAGCTGAAGACAAAGGGCATATAATCTTGGAAGTTCTAGAGCCCCACACACCACCTAACCCTCTCCATGGTACTACAGTTAATGCTTTCTGGAAAGTGCTACCTCCTGGTAGGAGGCCAATCAGCACAAAAATAGAGCATTAAACCACCAAAGCTAAGGAATCTTACAGAGTCCATTGCAAGCCCCCTCCCTAACCTCCCGCCACCTCCACCAGAACAGGTGCTGGTATCCACAGCTAAGAGATCCATAGATGGCTCATATCACAGGACTCTGTGCAGACAACATTCCAGTACCAGCCTGGAGCCAGACAGACTCACTAGGTGGCTAGACCCAGAATAGAGACAATAAATAATCACTGAAGTTTGGCTCACAGGAAGCCCATCCATAGGAAAAGAGGAAGAGTACTACATCAAGGGAACACCCCATGGGACAAAAGAATCTGAACAGCCTTCAGCCCTAGAGCTTCTCTCTGACAGAGCCTGCCTAAATGAGAAGGAACCAAAAAAACAACCCTGGTAATATGACAAAACAAGGCTCTTCCACACCCCCCAAAAATCACATGAGTTCACCAGTAATGGATCCAAACCAAGAAGAAATCCCTGATTTACCTGAAAAAGAATTCGGGGGGGTGAGTTACTAAGCTAATCAGGGAAGGACCTGAGAAAGGTGAAGCCCAATGCAAGGAAATACAAAAAATGAACAGAGAAATATTCAAGGAACTAGACAGCTTAAAGAAAAAAAAATAAAAAATTCAGGAAACTTTGTACACACTTTTAGAAATGTGAAATGTTCTGGAAAGTCCCCACAGTGGAATTGAACAAGCAGAAGAAAGAAATTCAGAGCTCAAAGACAGGACTTTGAATTAACCCAATCCAACATAGACAAACTAAAAAGAATAAGAAAATGTGAACAAAGACTCCAAGAAGTCTGGGATTATATTAAACAACCAAACCTAAGAATAATCAGTGTTACTGAGGAAGAAGAGAATTCTAAGAGCTTAGAAAACTTATTTGGGGGGAATAATCAAGGAAAACTTCCCCAGCCTCACTAGAGACCTAGACATCCAAATACAAGAAGCAAAAAGAACACCTGGGAAATTAATCACAAAAAGATCTTTGCCTGGACACACCGTCATCAGGTTATCTCCAAAGTTAAGATGAAGGAAAGAATCTTAAGAGCTATAAGACAGAAGCGCCAGGTAACCTTAAAGGAAAATCTATCAGATTAACATCATATTTCTCAGCAGAAACCCTACAAGCTAGAAGAGATTTGGAGTCCCATCATCAGCCTTTGTTTCAGCAAAACAATTATCAGCCAAGAATTTTGTATCCAGTGAAACTAAGCATCATATATGAAGGAAAAATATAGTCATTTTCAGACAAATGAATGCTGAGAGAATTCACCATTACCAAGCCACTACTACAAGAAGAACTGCCTAAAGGAGCTCTATATTTTTAAACAAATCCTGAAAACACATCAAAACAAAATGTATACATTAAAGAATGTATACATCACACAAGATCTATAGAACAAAAATACAAGTTAAAAACCAAAAACCAAAAACAAAACAAAATAAAAAACAAAGTACACAGGCAACAAAAAACACAATGAATGTAACAGTACCTCACATTTCAACACTAACATTCATAATTACTAATGTAAATGGCCTAAATGCTCCACTTAAAAGATACAGAACTGGCAGAATGTATAAGAACTCACAAACCAACTATCTGTTGCTTTCAGGAGACTCTTCTAACACAGAAGGACTCACATAAACTTAAAGTAAAGGAGTGGAAAAAGGCATTTCATGCAAATGGACGCCAAAAGTGACCAGAGGTAGCTATTCTTATATCAGACAAAGCAAACTTTAAAGCAACAGCAGTTAAAAGAGACAGAGGGACATTATATAATGGCAAAAGACCTTGTTCAACAGGAAAGCATCACAATCCTAAATATATATGCACCTAACACTGGAGCTCCCAAATTTTTAAAAACAATTCCTAATAGACCTAAGAAATGAGATAGACAGCAACGCAATAATAGTGGGAGACTCCAATACTCCACTGACACCACTAGAGAGGTCATCAAGACAGAAAGTCAACGAAGAAACAATGGATTTAAACCATACCTTGGAACAAATGGACTTAACAGATATATACAAAATATTTCATCCAAGAACTACACATTCTATTCAACAATGCATGGAAGTTTCTCCAGGATATACCATACAATAGGCCACAAAATGAGTCTCAATAAATTTAAGAAAATTGAAACTATGTCAACCACTCTCTCAGACCACAGTGAGATAAAACTGGAAATTAATTCCAAAAAGAACTTTCAAAACCATGCAAATACATGGAAATTGAATGACTTGCTCCTGAATGAGCACTGGGTCAAAAACAAAATCAAGATGAAAATTTAAAAAGTCTTGGAACTGAACAACAACAATGACACAACCTATCAAAACCTCTGGGATACAGCAAAGGTGGTGCTAAAGAAGAGTTCATAGACCTAAATGCCTGCATCAAAAAGACTGAAGGAGCACAGACTGAAGTTCTAAGACCACACCTCAAGGACTAGAGAAACAAGAACAAATCAAATCCAAACCCAGCAGAAGAAAGGAAACAATGGAGATCAGAGCAAGAACTAAATGAAATTGAAACAAACAAACAAAAGGTAAATGAAACAAAAGGCTGGTTCTCTGAAAAGATAAAAAAATTGATAGACCATTAGCAAGATAAACCAAGAAAAGAAAAGAGAAAATCCAAATGATCTCACTAAGAAATGAAACAGGAGATATTACAATTGACAACACTGAAATACAAAAGATCATTCAAGGCTACTAGGAACACCTTTAAGGACATAAACTAGAAAACCTAGAAGAGATGGACAAATTCCTGGAAAAATACAACCCTCCTAGCTTAAATCAGGAAGAATTAGATACCCTGAACAGACCAATAACAAGCAGTGAGATTGAAACAGTAATTTTTAAATTACCAACAAAAAAAGTCCAGGACCTCTTGGATTTATCCCTTGAACAGAAAAAGAAAAAAAGAAAAAAAAAAAAGCCCAGGACCAGATAGATTCACAACAGAATTCTATCAGACATTCAAAGAATTGGTACCAATCCTTTTAACGCTATTCCACAAGATAGAGAAAGAAGAAACCCTCACCAATTCATTCTATGAAGCCAGCATCACCCTAATGCCAAAACCAGAAAAGGGCATAAACCAAAAAGAATACGACAGACTGATATCCCTGATGAACATAGATGCTAAAATCCTTAACCTAATACTAGCTAACTGAATCCAACAACATATCTAAAAGATAATCCACCATGATCAAGTAGGTTTTATACCAGGGATGCGGGGATGGTTTAACATATGCATGTCAATAAATGTGATATACCACATAAACAGAATTAAAAACAAAAATCACACGATCATCTCAATAGATGCAGAAAAAGCATTCAACAAAAATCCAGTATCCCTTTATGATTAAAACTTTCAGCAAAATCAGCATACAAGGGACATATATACCTTAATGTAATGAAAGCCATCTATGACAAACCCACAGCCAACATAATACTGAATGGGGAAAAGTGGAAAGCATTCCCTCTGAGAACTGGAACAAGACAGGGATGCCCATTCTCACCACTCCTCTTCAACATATTACTGGACATATTGCTTCTAGCCAGAGCAATCAGACAAGAGAAATAAGTAAAGGGCTTCCAAATCAGTAAAGAGAAAGTCAAACTGTCACTGTTTGCTAATGATATGATCATTTACCTTGAGAACCCTAAGGACTCCTCCAGGAAGCTCCTAGAACTGATACAAGAATTCAGCAAAGTTTCCGGATACAAGATTAATGTACACAAATCAGTAGCTCTTCTATACACCAACAGCAACCAAGCAGAGAACCAAATCAAGACCCCAATCCCTTTTACAATAGCTGCAAAAAAATAAAATAAAATACTTAGGAATATACCTAAGGAGTTGAAAGACCTCTACAAGGAAAACTACAACACACTGCTAAAAGAAATCACAGATGACACAAACAAATGGAAACACATCCCATGCTCATGGAGGGGTAGAATTAATATTGTAAAAATGACCATACTGTCAAAAGTGATCTACAAATTTAATACGATCCCCATCAAAATGCCACCATCGTTCTTCACAGAATTAGAAAAAACAATTCTAAAACTCATATGAAACCAAAAAAGAGCCTACATAACCAAAGCAAGACTAAGCAAAAACAAACAAATCTGGAGGCATCAAACTATCTGATTTTAAACTATACTATAAGCCATAGTCACCAAAACAGCATGGCACTGGTATAAAAATAGGCACATTGACCAATGGAACAGAATAGACAACCCAGAAATAAACCCAAGTACTTACAGCCAACTGATCTTTGACAAAGCAAACAAAAACATAAAGTGGGGAAAGGACACCCTTTTCAACAAATATGGTGCGAGGATAATTGGCAAGACACATGTAGGAGAATGAAACTGATCCTCATCTCTCACTTTATACAAAAATCAACTCAAGATGGATTAAGGACTTAAACCTAAGACCTGAAACTAAAAATTCTAGAAGACAACATTGGAAAAACCCTTCTAGACATTGGCTTCAGCAAGGATTTCATGACCAAGAACCCAAAAGCAAATGCAATAAAAACTAAGATAAACAGCTGGGACCTAATAATAGCTTTTGCACAGCAGAAGGACCAGTCAGCAGAATGCACAGACAACCCACAGAGTGGGAGAAAATCTTCACAATCTATACATCTGACAAACTACTAACATCCAGAATCTACAATGAACTCAAACAAATCAGTAAGTAGAAAACAAACAATCCCATCAAAAAGTGTGCTAAGGACATGAATAGACAGTTCTCAAAAGCAAATATACAAATGGCAAACAAATATATGAAAAAGTGCTCAACATCACTAATGATCAGGGAAATGCAAATCAAAACCACAATGCAATACCATCTTACTCCTGCAAGAATGGCCATAATCAAAAAAATAAAAAAACAGTAGATGTTGGAGTGAATGCAGTGAACAGGGGACACTCTACACTGCTGGTGGGAATGTAAACTAGTACAGCCACTATGGAAAACAGTGTAGAGATTCCTTAAAGAACTAAAAGTAGAACTGCCATTACTGGGTGTCTACCCAGAGGAAGAGAAGTCATTATTCGAAAAAGATACACACACATATTTTTAGCAGCACAATTTACAATTGCAAAATTGTGGAACCACCCAAATGCCCATCAATCAACAAGTGGATAAAGAAACTGTGATACACACACACACACACACACACACACACACACACATACATATATAGAGAGAATATACATCTATATCTATATATATATTATATAGATACATATATATGATGGAATACTACCAGCCATAAGAAGGAATGAATTAACAGCATTTGCAGTGACCTGAATGAGATTAAAGACTATTATTCTAAATGAAGTAACTCAGGAATGGAAAATCAAACATTGTATGTTCTCACTGATATGTGGGGGCTAAGCTATGCTACACAAAGGCATAAGAATGATACAATGAACTTTGGGGGCATGGGAGGGAAGAGTGAGAAGGGGCGAGAAATAAATGTCTACAAATAGGGTGCTGTGTAGACTGCTCGGGTGATGGGTGCACCAAAATTTCCCAAATCACCACTAAAGAACTTATTCATGTAACCAAACACCACCTGTATTCCAATAACTTATGAAAAAAAAAAAGACTCATCATGGCTGGGCATGGTGGCTCATGCCTGTAATCCCAGCACTTTGGAAGGCTGAGGTGGGTGGATCATTTGAGGTCAGGAGTTTGAGACCAGTCTGGCCAACATGGTGAAACTCCGTCTCTATTAAAATATAAAAATTAGCCAGGGATGGTGGTATGTGCTTATAGTCCCAGCTACTCAGGAGACTGAGACACAAGAATCGCTTGAACCCAGAGGCGGAGGTTGCAGTTAGCTGAGGTCACGCTACTGCACTCCAGCCTGGGGGACAGAGTGAGACTCTGTACCAAAAAAAAAAAAAAAAGACTCATTATATCTCCTAGCTAAATTTTACTTCTCCTTCAAGACTCAGCTCAAGTGGCACCTTGTCTAAGAAATTGTCTTGATGATAACCTGTTGCCCACTCAGAGCTGGTGCCTTACTGTGTCTCCCATGGAATCCTACCCTGTGTTTAACTTTATCTTAACATGTGATTACTTAGGCTGTGAGTAATAGCCTGCTGAAACATAATGACTTCAATGCACCCAAGTTCACTCAGTCATGTACAAACCGTCTGGAAGGAGACAGCCTGAAGCTGGTGTGGTAGTTCCTCAAGGTCATTAGGGACCCATCCTCCTCTTTCTTCTCCAGCATCTTTGCTGCATGATTTTCATCATCAAGGTCACTTTATGATTCAAAATGTCAGCTGGAAATGCTGCATTCTGATCCACATTTCAGACGCCAGAAGGGGCCAAAGGTAACAAAGTTGGCCTTCATTTTAAGCAGTCTTCCCTGATGTCCTTTAGAGCACTTCCACTCACATCTTATGGCCAGGAGCTAATCGGGGGACCACACCTTGGTAAAGAAACCTGGGAGATGTCATTTTTATCCTGGGTGGCAACATTCCCAGCTAAAAGCCACGCTTCTGTTACTACCAAAGGGGAGAATGGAGACAGGCTAGCAGCCAGTAGTTCCTGCCAACCTGCCCTTAATGCGCCATACTGTATTTGCCTGGTTGTCTGTCTTTGCTGAAAGAATGTGTACTCCAAGTACCTAATGCGGTACCCAGCACACAGTAGGGAGTCCAAAAATTTTTTTAATTTGCATGGAAGATTATCACACATACATGAGTACACTCATCTTAACTGTATATCTTTTTTTTTTTTTTTTTTTTTGAGACGGAGTTTCACTCTTGTTACCCAGGCTGGAGTGCAATGGCGCGATCTCGGCTCACCACAACCTCCACCTCCTGGGTTTAGGCAATTCTCCTGCCTCAGCCCCCTGAGTAGCTGGGATTACAGGCACGTGCCACCATGACCAGCTAATTTTTTGTATTTTGAGTAGAGATGGGGTTTCAACATGTTGACCAGGATGGTCTCAATCTCTTGACCTCGTGATCCACCCGCCCCAGCCTTCCAAAGTGCTGGGATTACAGGCCTGAGCCACCGCGCCCGGCCCTAACTGTGTATCTTGATAAATCTCCACATATGACTATACCTGTATAACCACCACCCAGATCAAGATGCAATTTCTAGATTTCTTCATACCCCTTCCTGTTCAACTCTCTCATAGGTAGTCACTATTCTGACTTTTCTCACCCCAAGTACTTTGGTCTGTTCATGAACTCCACATGAAAAAAAGCATACGGCACATGGCATTTTAGCCAAACCAATGAATGATTTCTGGAAAAAGCGACCATCCATTCCAGATGTTCTGAGTTAGTCTTCACCTCAAATAAGTTGTTGTTATAAAGCTTACTTTTAGAATATTGGGTTCCTAATTGGAATACCTGGATGCTGTCAACAGACATTATATAACCCAATTCCCTTTGGTGTGCAACACTTCCATAATAAAGTTTTCTCATCTGTTCTCCTTTTTAAAAGAAATACGAGACTGAGAGTGGTGACTCATATGTGTAATCCCAACACTTTGGGAAGCCAAGGCAGGAGGATCCCTTGAACCCAGTAGTTCAGGACCAGCCTGAGTAACATAACATAGCAAGACCCTCTCTATATAAAATTAAAAATAGCCAGGCATGGTGGTGCACATCTTTAGTCCCCATTCCTTGGGAGGCTGAGGTGGGAGGATTGCTTGAGCCCAGGCTGCAGTGAGCTGTGATCACACCACTGCACTCCAGGCTGGGTGATAGAGTGAGAACCTGTCTCAAAAAAATAAACTAATAAATAAACATGCCTTGAAATAGCGCCATCAAGAAGCCTTCTGCTGTACTTCTAGGTGTGCCAGTATACTCGATGTGCATTTCATGGGGATGGTGAGGACAGTGGGCCATGAACAAAGGCTGGCTGTGGAGCTGAGCAGACTCCAGGCTGGCCATCTGGAACACCTGCAGCTGGCCCAGCATGAGGCCGCGCGCCAGTCCAAACCGCCCAGCTGGAGAATTCTCTGCCTCTGCCACTGCCGCCATTGGCAAGAAAGCATCAACATCCTTGCTGGCTCTCAGGGCTTTCTCTATTGGTCAGAAACCGAAAAGTGGGCCCCAGATTTCTTAATCAGGCTCAGCAGGATGTGGCAAAAACTTGGCAGAAATGAAAGCAGCAGACAAAAGGCTGTCAGAGCTGGGTCTGATGGGAAGGCAGCGCTGCTTTGTAGCAGAAGCAGAGCATCTCCCTGACATATGAAAATGACCCCATTCTTCCAGGAAGCCTCCCCAGAAAGTTTGACCTGTCGTGTGTCAGGCTTTGGCTACAACCAGGAAGTTGATGGGGACGACAATGGGGAGGGAGGGGAAGGTATTGGGAGGGGTTGAAGGGGGTTCACCAGGATGAGGAAGCGCTGTCTCCATTCATGGGGGAGAAATGTGGACGTGTGGGAATGATAGGTGCTGTCTTCCCTCTTCCCTTCAGCACCGTGTGCATCAGCATGCCCCGATAGGTCCCCAGAGAACAGAGCTCAAGCCCCGTCCTCCAACACCAGAGGTGCCAGGTGATGGTTATGTGGCAGCTCAACCTATGACCCACAGTGGAGTGGTCACTGCTGGGCTGGATCTTCTGTTTTAGGTGCTTCTTCTGACCTAGTCCTGAGGCCTCTTCCCATCCTTCTTTCCTCCTTTTACACACTTTAGCACCACAGGACCAGCATTCAATTCAGCCTTGTAGGGTCAGGGTGGGATGACCTCCGATGAAGCCATTGCCCCACAGAGGAACTGGCTGGGTTGTCTTCTGGGGGCTGTGCTACTTATCTGGTACCTTCTCCTTTGGACTTTTAAGCACAACAGCCTGGTTAATCCACACTGGAGGAAGGGTGTATAATGCCCCAAAGGGGACCCAGAGGGTCACAGCATAGGGATGTAATTTGGGATAAGAGGCACTTTCCTTGTCTCAGAGGGGATTCGTGCTCCTGAGGTCAACCAGGGTGAATCTCTGCCCTTTTCTGGCTGAAAAAGAGAAAAAAGGATATTGAATCTCCATAAGGGCATCTGAATACACCACAATGAGGATGCTGGAGGGGAAGGCTCCTTTGCCCTTTGTCCTTTGCCCTGCTCCAATGCATCTGGTGTCTTAAGGCCCCTCAAGCCCTGTTATAGGCTGAAATGCATCCTCCCAAATTCATATGTTGAAGTTCTAACCCCCAGCACCTCTCAATATGACTGTATTTGGAGAAAGGACCTCTAAAGAGGTAACTTGGTTAAAATGAGGTCCTGTGGGAAGGCCCTTATCCAGTAGGACTGATGTCCATGTACACAGAGCTTGAAGAGGTGCTAGGGATGCACATGAGCAGAGAAAGGCCACGTGAGGATGCAGTGAGAAGGCAGCTGTCTGCAAGCCAAGGAGGGAGGCCTCAGAAGGAACCAGTCCTGCTGACTTCCAGCCTCCAGAACAATGGGAGAATACATTTCGGTTGTTTAAGCCGCCCAATCAGGATAGTTTGTTATGGCAGCCCAGCAAATTAATACAAGCCGTATTTCCTCTATGAAACCTTTTTTTAATATCCTAATGTATTTGGTTACTATTATGAGGATCTCCAATTTTTTTTAACAAACAAACAAATCCTTATAGCAGCAGTCCCTGGAAACCCACCCAGAAAATTCTGTCCCACACTAGCCCATACAAACAGCAGTTTCCAATAAGAAGTGATCCCCCAGCTGTGACGAATCAGATCTAGGAGGAAGGACAAGTATGCTTTGACAAAACTCCCTACCCAAGTTTGATTTACCATCTCCAAGCTGAAAAGCACAGCTATACAGTTTAACACAAACAGTTAAGCACTTGTGACATACTTCTTTATCATCTGGCTTATTTATTTAGTTCAAGCTGTTTGATTTGTCTCCCTGCTTTAGCCTGGGTTCCCAGAAAGCAGCACCTGCGAGAAGGGTTTGGGTGTGAGAATCTCATTGGAGAAAGTGATCCCTTACAGGGAGTAAAAGTAAAAGACAGGGGAGAAAAGCTGAGCTAGAGGGAGAGCCAATACAAGGATGCAGGGTGGACTCGGTCCTTTTTATGGATGATTACTTGTCTGTCCCCACAGGTCCATTTGAGAACTCATATGAAACACATTCAGGATCTTCCCCTGGGGAAAAAGGAGGAAAGTGCTTATTTACTGGCTCCTAACCACCACTGGCAGTTTTGCTCTGTGGGGTGGGTGTTGACTCATCTGCATTTCCTGTGTGTGCAGGGGCACTGAGTGTGTTCCCATGAGTCCCACCTGGCAGTGCCAGAGCAACCTCAGAATGGGAAGTGAGCAGTACAAGTGGGGCCGTCCTCAGGGAATACGGGGCCGTCCTCAGGGAATACAGCGCCTCAGACAAATATTCTTTATATATAAGCAATCTGATTTAAAAATATATTACAAATTTCAGCTGGATGTGGTGGCTCACACCTGTAATCCTAGCACTTTGGGAAGCTAAGGCAGGTGGACCACCCAAGGTCAGGAGTTCGAGACAAGACTTGCCAACGTGATGAAACCCTGTCTCTACTAAAAATACAAAAATTAGCCAGGCATGGTGGCGTGTGCCTGTAATCCCAGCTATTCGGGAGGCTGAGGCAGGAGAATTGCTTAAATCCAGGAGGAGGAGGTTGCAGTGAGCTGAGATCACACCATTGCACTCCAGCCTGCATGACTAGAGTGAGACCCCATCTCAAAAAAAAAAATATATATATATATATATATATGTGGGTGTGTGTGTGTGTGTAAGTGTACATATATATAACAAATTTCATAGGCCTACATGAGATAGAGTGATTTGTCAATGAAGTTTTAGAGTCATGGGTAGGCAATAGGTACTGACTTTGTCGTCCAATCAACATACGTGAAGATTTTTTGTAGTGTCTGGGCTTCATCTCTTCCTATTCAGGACCATAAAGTATTCCCTTCCTGCTCATTACTGTTAAATGCTTCATTCCTGACTAATCATATCTTCCATTGAGAAAAAGGTAGCAATGACTGTCATTACTCACAGTGCTGTGGTTCTTTAGAACCTATCTGTATCGAAGTAGTACAGGTCTTCCCTCTGAACGTCCCTAATACCAAGTATTTAATGCTGTTTACATCATTACCCATAATTCTGCATCATCTTTTGAGCTACCTGTGGATAGGATACTTGTTTCCAATGATTCTCTCAAAGATTATTTATGTGCTTCACTGATGATGACTACAAATGCAAGTCTTCTTCATAGTATGCAGGGGAATGTGAATGAGAATTCTTTTCTGAACATACATGGTAAATTTTCCCTCTGAATTTTGTAATGTAAATATTGAACAGCATGTCTTCCAACCATGTCTTCCCTACGACGTGTCTTCCCTTTGGCCATAATCACTGCATCCTAGAATGTGATCTATTTCAATGCTGATTTCACCCGAGCCTTCCACACACCACCATCAAAATGGAGGATAGATGAAAGGCCTGTGGGGAAAGCTAGAAGAGCAGAACAGCTTCCACAAGGAACATTCATCCACTCAACTGGGCTGCAGACTGACCAGGAGAGCATGATGTCACCACATCAATCAGAAGGGCCCACTGGCTAGGGAAACAAGAGTTGTAAAAGACTTTGAAGGAGACAGAAAGGGCCGTTCCTAGATAATTGCCTCCTTGGAACCAGCCACAGTCGGGCTCCATATGGGACATCTGGAGCTCTTTGGAACATCTGATTGACTTCTTGCATGATACATGCACCCGTGTGTGTGTGTGTGTGTGTGTGTGTGTGTGTGTGTGTGTGTTTGTATGTGTGGTGTGTGTGTGTGTGTGTGTGTGTGTGTGCATACCATGGGAGAAATTGGAACCTAGATCCATGCAGGTCTCAGTCCAGGTTCAATAGTACTTAGGAAGTTTCAAGGAAGGAGTTGGGAGGGGTAGGTAGGTCCTGAAGGTCAGGTCGATGTGTGGGTCCTGTTTGCCTGGATCTAAGGGTGGTACCAGGTATTGGGCATGAGTTGGAGGTGCCACACTGTTAGGTTGGTCCCATAGGAAGCTGGCTGAGGCCCTTAGAACAGCTTACTATAGTAACGGCTAAAATAAGAGGCAGCAAAGCTTAGACGATCTGGAGTGATGCATATGAAGGTCTGACAAACTCCCCATAAGATTTTAAACTCCTTAAGGACTTCCACGTCGATTCTTTTTCTTATATGCCTCACAGCCTATAGCATAGGTTTTGTGAAGAATACAAAGAAATATACAATACAATCCATGACTATGAGAACATTCAGTTGAAGGGGGTGTCAACCCTGAAATTATAACAAGAATCCATCCCTTCCCTAAGTGTTGTATAGTGTCCAGCTCCTAAGACTCAATAAATATTTGTTGAATGAATGAATGTTCATATTAGGAGCTTTGGATTATTATGTCCAGAATATAGGCTCCTATTTGGGGGCTATAATGAAGTAAATAAATAAGCATTTATCAAGCATCCTGGGCTCGGCACCAATTAGTACCTGAGAAGCAATATAGAAGATTGATGCCTGCACAAAGCTGATAATCTCACTGGGGAAAGGGACAAATCTACAGAAAACAATCAAATCTACAGAAAACGATCGAAGAACCAGCTAAGATATTATGGATCTGAGTCAAACCAGGTGACTTAGACTTTAAGGTAAACACCTGTGTGACCCTCATAGCTCATCACACAAGTTGTCTAAATGTTTATTTAATGAGAAAACAAAAAAATAAAATCATAGGTTACCCTATAGGAGATTACACCCAGAGCCTGACCTTAGGGAAACAAATAGAATGTTTCTTTGGCGCTATCTTAACATCCCTCTAGGACCCTCTGAATTTTGCTATTCTAAGGTACTAGGACGCTCTTTCCAGCCGCTCAGAGCTTCTGTACCAGTGTATCCCTTGACTAGCACGGCCTGGGCAATGAGTCATACCCTAAACCCATTTCCTACTTCCCACACTCACCATTAAATCTACCTATGGGAGCATATATTCAGGACATAAATCCATGTTCCCAGGCTGATGTCCTCAAACTTGGCCCAAATAAACTCTCTGCATATATATAATTTAGATATATATATATATATCTAAAGTATATATGTATATATCTAAATTATATATATATATATATTTAAATTACCTACTTCCAAATCTTTCTTGTCAAATGGTGTGAGAATCACTTGCTGATTAATATCAAGTGACTAATGATCTTTGTTTGCCTGAGTGTCTCTATTGCCCTCAGGTAAGGCCTTCCCTTTCCATGCCTGACAATCTTGGGGAATATGCTGAATGCCTTTCTCCTTACCCTGAATGCAACTGGGAATTTTGAAGCTAGATGAGGCTGATTGTATTCAGAGCCTCTGTGAAAGGGCTACTCTGTGAACATCACAGTTCTTAGATAACTAGAAAGACTCTTCACAAAAATTATACCACCTTTCCCCATGCTTACAAAAGAAATCAGTACAGTTAACCCTTGAATAACATGGATTTGAACTATGCAGGTCCAGTTATGCACAGAGTTTCTTCCACCTCTACCACCCCTGAGACAACAGGACCAACCCCTCCTCTTCTTCCCTGCCTTCAGCCACTCAATGTGAAGACGATGAGGATAAAGACCTCTTTGATGATCTACTTTCACTTAATGAATAGTGAATAAATTTTCTCTTCTGTATGATTTTCTTAATAACACTTCTTTTCTCTAGCTTACTTTATTGTAAGAATATGGTATATAATACCTATAACATATAAAATATGTGTTAGTTGCTAGTTTATGTTATCAGTAGGCTTCCACTGACCAGTAGGCTATTAGTACTTAAGTTTTTGAGGAAGCAAAAGTTATTAGCCAGGCATGGTGGCATGCGCCTGTGGTCACAGCTGTTTGGGAGGCTGAGGTGGAGGAATCACTTAAGCCTGGTGCTTGAGGCTGCCGTGAACCGTGATCATGCCACCGTGCTACGGTCTAAGTGACAGAGCAACACTCCATCTCAAAAAGAGAAGCCCCCCAA